CCCTCCTCCTCCAGTGCACAGGTTGGGACGCCCTCAGCACCCTGACTCCCAGCTCCCCGCCATCCTGCCCCACCCGCAGGGAACTAACGGGTGTGTTGTGTTTCCAGGGTCCCTATCCCAGCCTGTGCCGACACAGTCACCATCTGCATCTGCCTCCCTGGGAGCCTCATCCAAGCTGACCTGCACTTTGAGCAGTGGCCACAGTGGTTAATACGTGGACTAGTACCAGCAGGACCCAGGGAACGGCTCATGATTCGAGATGGGAGTTGGCACCAGCAGTGTTCTTGAATCCAAGGGGGATGGGGTCTCTGATAGCTTCTCAGGCTCGGGCTCTTGACCAGAGCGCTACCTGACCATCCAGAACGTCCTGGAGGAGGACGAGGCTGACGACATCTGTGGGGCAGACCATGGCAGCTACGTGTAACCCACAGTGACACCCCCAGAGTTGAAGTGACACAAAAAATCCCACTGATGGCCCAGCCCCACCCCTCCTGCTGCCCGACCCACAGTTCAGGGGGTGCCTCTTGACCTCCCTTGAGAGTTTTCACCTTCCTAGGGATTTTTATAACTCAGCCCCTGTCAGTGAGGACGGTCTGTCTCTGCACAACGTGCCTGGTCTCGGTCCACAGCGAATGTTCCCTGGGTTGGAAAATATAAGCCAATGTGGACTGAATTCCAGTGAAGGACATCCAGCCCTGAACTTCAAAGCTGCAAAACAGTGTCCCTGGCATCCTTCCCTTTGGTAGTCAGTACGACATTCAGGTCGCTGCCAACCGGGGGAAGTAACATGCAGATGAATCCATGTGGCTGTGCTTTGATGGACTGCTTGTGTAGCAGCCAAGTGTGTTACAGCTCAGTTGAGAAAGCAAACTGGATTTGGGGAAGAGACCAAGCAGCACATGGAGGGATGGAGAACTCAGGTTTATTATGCCAGCAGGCCCAGAGGTGTTAATACTCCAAACTCTGGACCCCGGTTGTGGGTTTACACAGGCTTATATAAGCTACCATTCTACACTTTGCAACATCATATGCAAATAAGCTGTAATAAAACTTGACTAATTAGGAGAAATCTTTGTAGAAATAGACCAATCAGGAGGGATAGAAATGGGCCAATCAGGAATGGTAGAAAGGTACCAATCAGGAGGGAGCTCCATGCAAATGAAGTGCTACAGATTGACCAATCAGGAATTAGCTCAGGGAACCAATAGAATCTTAGGGGTAAGTTCCACTTTCTTAGAAGTAAGCCATTTCAGAGGGAAAAAGCTAGATAACGCCGCTGGGCCACGGACCAGGATGGTGCTGGCAGGAAAGTAACAGCTGTGCCTGAGGGTCCTGCTTGTCTTTTCATGGGTCTTTCACCTCACCTGAGTGCACATGAGTTTTGGAACGTGGAGCATGGGCGTGTCCTAAACAGAGTCCAAGGGATGCTGAAGCTGGTGTGTGTGTTACTGTCATGTGTGAGGGGGTAGGAGGAGGGGTGAGAGGAGGGGAGATTGGAGGAGGGAAGTCATCCTGATGAGGGCTGATGGGGGATGAAGGTGCAGGAAGCCCCCTAGTCTATTAACATGGATTTCTGAAACATCAACGATTTCAACAAAGACAGACCTGTGAACAAGAAAAGCTCCACCCTTGTGTGTTGTGGTGCATGTCTGCCCTTGGTTAACAAATCCCCAAAGTTGCCAAAATGTGTGTTTCCACCCTGATCTCAAGTTCAAGCCTATCTCCTCCCAGCTGACAGAGGTGGGTGCTGTGACGTTGGGAAGGGACAGAAGCTCAGCTGAGTCTGACAGAGGAGGGAGGGAGGGGGCCCAGAGAGAGGGGAGGGGCTGCGTGTGGGTGCAGAGGGGGCACAATTAGACCAGGAAGGCACCTTGTGGGGCTGAGGGGTTGGGATTTCATGCAAACAGCAGTGAGGAGTCTCATTGAGGGGTTGAAGGCAGGGTTGACTTGAGCTGAAGGAGGATCTTCCTCTGTTGTCTTGAGGAGAAGCGGGTGGTCCTGGTCACAGGACAATTGCTGAGTGAGACATCTCTGAGTCCAGATGATCATGGAGCATTTGTCTTGAGTCGTCCCAGGAAGGTTGTCAGTTTGTCCTGCTGTAAGTAGGGTGCTGATATGGGGAGGGGTTACGTGGAGTGGAACCCTATGCCCAGGGACAGTCTTGTGTTCCTAGACATCTGCTTCCTCGTGACCCTGCCACAGCAGTAATGGAAGGAAGGAAAGCAGGCACATAGATGAAAAGGAGGAATCAGTTTACTTTGAGGAGGAGAGATTGGATTGAAAATTAATGAGAATGAATACACACATTTTCAAGGTCACAATTAATAACAAATTGTATAGAAGTTTTTTAGTTATGTAAATTTAAAATGGTTCAAAGTGCACGTCATTCCATTGTTGTATATAAAAAAAGTAACTGAGCTTAGACCTTATAAATCCAAACCCCTACTAAATCCATGAAGTTCTTAACAAATAAACTTGATCAGAGCTGAAGGCAGGTTATGGAACAGGTGATGAGGGTTCCTTGGGCCAGAAATGGAGGAAGACCCTCTACACAAAGGTGTGAGGGTTCCATTTAAAAATAACGTTTGGTTTATGTCAACTTTTTGATGACAGAATTGACAAAGCTAGACTAAAAATATATTTACTCTCTGAGAGACTCACAAGAAAATCAGTTCTGCCAGAATAACACTCAAGGGCAAGAGGGGATCGACAGAATAATCCAGAACACAGGACATTTTCCCCCTGACGTTGTGATAGTCCCATGGCCAAGACCTCACTAAAAGCCCAAAACTGCACAGCGGGGACTGGGTGAGCAAAGCGGGGGATCCAGTAGCAACAAGCCAATAAACCAACCTGCACGTGTCACCTGCCTAGATTGACGACCAGGTGTGGACCAGAGGGGTCCTGTGTGGAACTTTACACTTTGAACTTGGTTCAAGGTGATTATCCAGTAGTCACAAACCCAGACAGAGGTAAACTCAGCTATTGGTGATCCTTAAATATCTGGTTCATCCACATTCCATTTAACTATGGAACATCATTAGTGCTCTGGGAACATTAACATTTTAGCCAGAAAGAAATATAGCGGACAGACTCATTGTAGCGCCCTGGGTGGTGACACCAGGAAGTACCAACTGCAGGTGTCAGAAAGCCCTTCCAGGAGGCTGGCTGTGACCCAGGGAGGATGTGGCTCTGCGCCCAGCAGGGGGCGCTGTGGGACTGGTCCTGAGAGCTCAGGGTCTGGGCCAGGCAGGCTGTGAAGACACACCACTGGCTCTTGCCCACTTGGGCAGCCATGTCCTCACTCCATGTCCCACACCTGAGGGACACACCGGCCTCATGCTTCCTCCTCCTCTGTCCCGGAGTCACTGCCCAGACCTGATGTCCACGCAAAGACAGATGGACAATCATAAAACAAACTGAATTTCCCTGAGGGTCATGACCTACAGTCACCTCCGGACAGAGGATAAGAGACCCCTGGGGAGGCATTGTCTCCACACCAAAAACAGGGCCTCCCAAGCAGGCTCTGAGGCTCCACACTACTCA